CATGTCGACCAGGTCCAAAACCAAGCAGAGCAGGGCCTGGGCTGGGCGGCACGCACGCACGCACGGGCTTAACCAGCTGCCTGGCGATGGCTGGCTATCCATTCTGTCTACATTTCTCGCTTAAAAAAACGTTTTGTTTGTCTAGTAACGTACCGATGGCGAATAGTCCAGACCATGCGGGAGTACATCTTCTTGAGGATGGAGGTACATTATTAGATAACATAGTTTATGCGTTGATAAGGGAGAAGCCCTGGCGCTGATGGTTTGATTAAGCCGAGATCGCCGGACGTGCCGCGGCGTGCTCCACCGGCTGCTCGATCGGTTCCTCATCGGCGGCGCGACACATGCGCCAATGCATCGCTGCTACGTGATCGGCGACAGCGCCTCATGTCCGGAAACAGGAGGAAAATCGATCGGAGAAAGATTGTCCCACGGTCTTTTAATTAGATAGAAGAGATTATATCACGGGTTATCACACACGTACGTACGTCCGGTGCATCACAGTTCACCAACTATGCTCCAGCCCTGAGTAAGTGCGTTTCATCCAGAGACCAGATTATTTTAAACAATGAACGACTATGATGTTAGGTAACCAAGGGCTTCTTTGGATCGCAGGAATCAAATGCCATGTACCATGAGTTCCTGCGGGATATCGAAACACGGAAATTTCATAAGGTGTGTCTTGGACGGTGCGCATGAGATGGACACACGAATTTTAGAGGAATGACAAGAGAGGGTAGAGAGATAGAGTACAGGTGCATTGGACTTCACAAAGGAAAAATAAAATGAGGTTTGACCTCAGGTTTATGTAGATTCCTATGGAAAGAAGGGTATAGAGATGGGTTCCATAGGAATTTAATGACCCATTCCTATGACACACAGGGTTTTCATAGAAATATTCCTATGGACGAAACATTCAAAATTTGCTACTCCCTTAAATCCATAGAGGGCCTGGCCCTTCACCCTTCATCGGAAAATTATAACTTTGGACCATGAAGTTGCCCCTATTAAATCTCGAACTTTGTGAGAACCAACCTGTGATTGAATGGTGATGGTTGTGTCTCTCTCTCATTAAGATGGGATATTTTTTCACTAAGAGGCATAAAAAAATCAGTGATGACTTCCTCAATTTGAAGATCCGCGACTCTGGTCTTTAGTAGGCGTTGTGTGAGTGTGTGCATATGGCGGTGTGGCATATGTTTGCGACTCCGGTCTTTAGTAGGCGTCGTTTGAGTGTGTGCATATGGCGGTGTGGCATATGTTTGCATCTGAATTGTACTTGATGTTTAAAAATACCTACATTTCTAAAACCTTCAAAAATTAAGGCTTGATTCTTTAGTAAATGTTTACTAAACCCTAGAGAGGTTTTCTCTAAGATGCATGTAATGCAACAGAAAACACAAGAATACAACTGAAACACAAACATTAGTGGAAACATGCAAAAACAAAATAGATGTTCAATGCAATTGAAACGTGCAAAATGCAGTAGAGAAAACCATTACACTAGTAAATAAGCAGAAGCCTAACTTTAAGCATAGCATTGTAATTGTTCTAAATAATGGTTTTGCATGGATACAAAGATACTCATAGATGTATATGTGATGAACCATAGGAGTGTATAATGTGCATAGTTCCATAAAAGAAAAAATGACTATCTATGTGGTGTGCATAAATATCAAGAGATAAATAATATCTCTATCACCTTTGATGTAAAAAACTTATCATATTTGGCTGAATTTTTCATATTCCTGGACAATATTTCAAGTTCATACATATTTTTAAATTTATCCAAGACTTCAAAGGTGTGAGATGAGCCTAGATGACCATGGTTAAGGTGGGAAGTTTCATGTTATAAGGTTTCTCAGTAATTTTGAAAGAACTCGTGAGTGTGAAGAATGCTAAAAAGATCCCAAATAAAAAAATCCATCAAGCAATATGATAATATATTTTCCATTAAAAAAACAAAAGGTAAATGAATTTCCTTTATAACTTTTGCACATGGCATATATAGTCATATATTTGATGGATTTTTACGGGTTATCACTTAATAGCACTCCTTAGGTCCATGCGTGGATTTTTGAAGGTTAGTTTAGTTGAAGGGTCCAATATACATAACTTAAAAATTAAAAAGGTATAATGCATAATTCAAGGTTCAAATTATTGCAGCATGCATGGCTTGAGAGTTCCCTTGTCGTGTTCCTAGAAGAAATTTAATTGATGAATTACAATTTCCAAGAGTTGGGTTGTTGGTGTAGTTTTGACAACATTATTGACCTTCATCCTCATGATTCTGCTCCTATTTGTCTTGTTTAACACTGCCGCGTTTGAGAGTCAACTAGTTAGCCACCCATAAAACATATATATCAACTTGGCAAACCTGGCAATTCGTGAGTCCAACCTGCTCATTTCAATGTTCAAGTGAAAACAAGCATAAAGAAATGATTTAGATATACGTAATGCATCGAGTGAAACTGGTAATAATTGCTTTAATGCAAAATCACGCAAATCCTTCTCTATTCTAAAATTGACTCCTAATGCAGCATCCATGATCGTTAGATCTTGGCAGTTGGGGCTTATTAACAGCCATGTCCTTTGTTTAAAAGACACACCCTTGATGAAAGGATGTCTCTTTGTGGAAAGACACGCCCCTTGGTGAAAAGATGTATCTTCATGGGAAGACATATTTTAAAACATTTGAAAAGAGCACAATAACTGCTAGATTAACACGTTATAAAACCCAGCTTGTGACTTCCCAAACGATGCGACTATTGAATTTGCCTTAACCTTGTACAAAAAACCAAACACGCCAAAAATTGAGCAGTTCAGTTTGTTTATGCACTTTAATAATATTTGCACTTTGCTAGTAGTTATACTTACTAAAAGAATGCAACTTTTGTACTATATGGTGTCTTAAAGCTAAACTCACTAAAACATCTAATAATACCGACAGCAAAGCGCGGGCTTTACACTAGTGATATATGTGGTAAGTGATCCATACTATTCAGAAAGTAGCAGTAACTAAGCAAGTACTAGGCCGTAAACAAGATCACGGTAACTAATCTACACATGAGAAGCGCCATGGAGAAGGAGTGAATGTTTAGTAAACCTTAGAGTGGTTTTCTCTAAGATGCATATAATGCAATAGAAAATGCATATTACAACTGAAACACACACTTTAGTTGAAACATGCAAAGGAAAACAATATAGACGTTGACTGTAGTTGAAATGATGGAATTGATAAGATGTTTTTTTAACTTATCTTTTTAGTTTTTTTAAAACTTATCTAAGACTTCAAAGATGTAAGATGGGCCTGGATGATCGGGTTAAGGAGGGAAGTTTCATGTTCTGAAGTTCTCAGTAATTTTGAAAGGATTCATGATTGTGGAGAATATGCTATAAAGTACCCAAATAAAAAAATGGCCGATCAAACAATATGATCATATACTTTCCATAAAAAGACCAAAGGTAAATGAATTTCCTCTATCACTCTTGCACATGGCATATGTAGTCATATATTTGATGAATTTTTGCGGGTTATCACTTAATAGCATTCCATACACTCATGCATGGATTTTTTGAAGGTTGTTTTGTTGAAGGGTCAAAAATACATAATTAAATTTTTAAAAGGGTATAATACATAATTTTGGGTTCACATTGTTGCACCATGCATTGCTTGAGAGTCCCCTTGTCGTGTTCGTAGAAGAAATTTAGTTGACGGATTCCAGTTTCCAAGAGTTGGGCCCGCCAATCAACCACCCATAAAACATCTCAACTTGGCAAACCTGGCAATTTGCGAGTCCAACCTGCTTGTGCCATTTTCAGGAGAGAATAAAGCAATGAAAGGATTTAGATATATGTAATCTACCAAGTGAAAGTGGTAATAATTGCTCTAAGGTAAATTCATGCAACTTCTTATATTCTAAAATAGAGTCCTAATGCATCATATATGTAAAGCCACATCACACTGAAAAGAACCATCGCTGGATATATCGAGGATCAAACAAATTCGTTATATCTTGGCAGTTGGGGCCTTTTAACAGACTGGATATTTGCCCGTGCGTTAAAACGGGTGTAAATATTCTATAGTATGTTAGCCCATGATTACCTTGTATATTAGTGTGATTGTCTAAATAGTTGTTTAAAGTTATGCTCGTGAATCATCGACCTAAATGAATTATAGGATTTTATTTGGTAAGCCAATAAAATACGAGAGTGGAGGGGGAATGTTATACGAAGGACGAGGTGAACGACAGAACCTTACGGTCTTTTCAAGTAGGATAGGAGATATCACACTCCATCAGTCTTGTACACTAGCAGTAACCAAGCAATGAGACCATTTATCACATCAAAGTAAATTAATCCACGCGTGAGAAGCGCCATGGAGGAGGAGTGAAACACTACTCATCAGAGTGGAGAAAAGCAACGGCACCACCACCCACGCCCTCCTCCAGCTATGCTCCACGGGTTTGGCGTAGAGAGCAAACAAAAAGGGAGAGGGGGAAAAGAAAAGGCGCGTGCATGGCTAGCTAGCGCGCGCGGCTATGGCGGGGGGCTGCATGCGGGGGAACAGCGGCCGCCATTCCGGTCAAGGAGACCGCCCATACCACCCCGTGGAACGCCTCCACGTTGTCGACCACCATTACCACCCCCCGGCCCCTTTGGATTTTCGCAAAGCGAGAGGCTACCATGCATTAAACTACTCCCCAAATCACTCCCTCTCTCTAATTAATCTCGCCCTCCTTGGCCCGTGTGCAGGCTCTCTACTCTGCTTGGACGGGTGGTTTCCTTGGACGCATTCACATCCTCTCTAGAGAGAGGGGGTGTGTGAACAGTGCACAGTTCAAACAAGCAAGCTCAGGGGACCGGCCGGAGCTTGCACTCTCTATTTATACCGGACTTTGACTATTCCCTGCAGAGAGTCAGTCCCATTCCCCTCCTTGCACCGGCACTACTACCCTTCTTCTAGCTTAGACTTCTATCAAGGCACGCGCGCGGCCGCCATGGATATGGACATGAGCTCCGCTACCCACCCTGCTCACCACTGGCTCTCCTTCTCCCTCTCCAACAACTACCACCACGGCCTCCTCGAGGCCCTCTCCAGCTCCTCCTCCGGCCACCAGATCGCCGGTAAGGACGCCAACACCCCTAGCTATCCCTATATCGATCATGTACTAGTGAGCGAGCTAGCTACACATCCGATATGGACTGTGGCTCACGGTGCATGTTTTCTTGTGCTTCTGCAGGGGAGGAGGGGACGGTGGACGAGGCGCCTAAGATGGAGGACTTCCTTGGCGGTGTCGGCGGCGCCGGCACGACATCGACGGCCGTGGTGGACCACGGCGAGCTGGGAAGCATCGCCGCGGGGTTCTTGCACCGGTATCCGGCGCATGACGGGACGCTGGATCAGAACTCTGGCGCGGTGACCGTAGCGGCGGCGACGATGGAGGTCGCTGAGTCCGATCAGGCGAGGAGGCCCGCCGAGACGTTCGGCCAGCGGACGTCCATCTACCGCGGCGTCACCAGGTAGGGATTATATACTTGCTAATCACATGCATGCATCTTCTTCTTCCCATCGAGAGGAAAGAAAAACATACCACTAGCTAGTTTGGTAGGATGATTCTTACTTCTTGGTACTACTAGCTAAACATCTATTGCATGCACCGGATCAGAGTGAACTGCTGGTACTTTTCTGATTCAATTAAGTTTCTTTTTGGTAATGCATCTCGTGGTGTTTGTGCATGTAATAATGTATGATTTGGCCTATGTATGCAGGCACCGGTGGACGGGGAGGTACGAGGCGCACCTGTGGGACAACAGCTGCCGCCGGGAGGGCCAAAGCCGCAAAGGCCGCCAAGGTACACCATCATGCATGCTTTGCTCAATAATCCTGCAAATACAAGAAATATAAATTCTGATCGCTAACATGTTTTGCTGCCTTTTCCTCACAAATCTCTGAACCTGCCGATGCATTGGTGATAATGATCATCAGTTTACTTAGGTATGTTAATTGCATTCCACATCCAGCTAATTTATCCATCTATCTTCATTGCCATGTGGTCCATGTATGATTTGGAACAAGAAATGTTTGAGGGCTTACAGTAGAAATTGGGGGAAATGCAGGAGGCTATGACAAAGAGGAGAAAGCCGCGAGGGCCTACGACATGGCTGCGCTCAAGTACTGGGGCCCAACCACCACGACGAACTTCCCGGTGAGTGACCGACTTTGCTAAGAGATCGACATTTGTTGACAACTCCATATACATCAGAATGCTGATCATGGCTGAGTTCTTGCTATCTAAAGGTGGCCAACTATGAGAAGGAGCTGGAGGAGATGAAGTCGATGACGCGGCAGGAGTTCATCGCTTCACTTCGCAGGTGAGCACTTGGCCGGCGACCGCCCAGATTGCCAGATTCACCGGGCTTGCTGACTTATGCGCCCTGTTCATTTTCTCCACGTACACACCTTGGCGTACGCACGCGTGCACGCACGCATGGCCAGTCCGCACAGCTTTTGCATGTGATCTGCTTTACTCCGGCCGAGTTCCAACACATGCATTTTGACCTCAATGCGTGTTCCTCACACAGGAAGAGCAGCGGCTTCTCACGAGGGGCGTCCATCTACAGAGGAGTAACAAGGTAATTAATAATTGTTTCACCTGAATGAGCTCGCCAAAACAAAATGTGGTACCAGTCTGAACTTTGAATATATGAAGAAGGAACACGCCACAAATGTCTTCATCTTTTAGTCAAATGTTCGTAACAATCGAGATTTGATTTTGTATATTTGATGACAGGCATCATCAGCACGGCCGGTGGCAGGCAAGGATCGGCAGGGTGGCCGGAAACAAGGACCTGTACCTGGGAACTTTCAGTGAGTCTTCTTGATCCCACATTGCCATTTTTTGCCCTTTCATGTGCCACCACCACAGGGCTCAGTGCATTACTAATTTGATTAAGTCACTGGTGATTAATTTAAGATATTAGGCAAAAACAAACAATGTGGTACAATTATCTGACCGTCTCTCCGCACCACAGGCACGCAGGAGGAGGCGGCGGAGGCGTACGACATTGCGGCGATCAAGTTCCGGGGGCTTAACGCCGTGACCAACTTCGACATGAGCCGGTACGACGTCGAGAGCATCCTCAACAGCGACCTGCCCATCGGTGCTGGGGCGGCTGCCCGCGCCTCCAAGTTCCAACCGGACGTCCTATCGCTGCCGGCACCGAACGTGGCATCGCCAGACATGCTGCCACCGGCGGAGAAGGACTACTGGTCCCTCCTCGCCATGCACTATCAGCAGCAGCAGCAACATCACCTGCAGCAGCAGCAGTTCCCTGCATCGGCATTTGAGACGTACGGCTCCGGCGTGAACGTGGACTTCACAATGGGCATGAGCGGCACCAACAACCCCAGCGGCGGCGGCGCCACCGTGTGGGGCGCCACCGGCCCAACAGGACACGGCGACGGCAGCAGGCAGAGCAACAGCTACTCCAGCAACATTCCTTATGCTTCCATGGTGTCTGGATCAGCGGCGTCAGTCGGTGGGGGATACGAGGGCTCCACCGGCAACAATGGCACCTGGGTGACGACGAGCAACCCGGCCGCCAGCGCGACGGCTCCTCAGTACTACAACTATCTGTTTGGCATGGAGTAGTAGGTGATCCATCACTGACTGCCTAGCTAGTAGTAGCTAGCTGTAGCTGAAATTGGGTGATAGGCCTAGGAGGAGGAGGGAGAGGGACTAACATGGAACTGATCAAAATTTTGGCTGCTGCTGCATGCATGGGAACGATGTATGATGAATGCGATGCTATTCTTTTTTACTTCCTGACAAGGTTCTGTAGGCTGTAGCGGAGAACACTCGTGTATCATCGGAATTTCTAATCCAGGTTATTCTTCTAGTTCTCTGGTGTGTCAGCTACAGTACGAGCATTCGAAAAGTACTGTATGTCTTCTTTACTTCTAGTTCTTTGGTCAGTTGCAGTATGGGTTTTTGAGAAGTACTGTATGTCTAACTTCACGGAAACATATTGAACAAGTGTGGGGACATCAGGTGAATGAGAAGAAGAATTTTCAGAAAATGCGGTAGAGTACATACTCGGGGTTGTAAAATCTTGGGAACGACTGACACGCGAGCATTGGAATTTGGAAACTGTAGTGGCTACCTGCACAGAAACATTGGTGGTCAGTCTAAAATAACATGGAAGTTGGATTTATAAACAGAATGAACGGAAGACCAAGAAACATGTTTCTATAACCAAAAAACAACAATGATGAGAAACAAGCTTGTCACTCAGTCGACAGCAATGATCCTCACAATGTGCTGCGTAGTTGGAATTAAGGAAAATAAGCATATTGCCATACCAAGAGGATAACTATCTCTCTGTAAAAGACCAAATGGAGACATCTGATAGTTAGAAATCGGAGGGGGAGGCCTCTCCTTCGATAAAAAAGAAAGAGAGGATAACTATTTTTTTTAGAACAAAGGCTCAAGAAGAGGATAACTATCTTCTGCACCAGCAGAGACATCTGATCTTATCCTACGCACATGATAGCAACTAATCTTCTGCAGCCTCAAAGGACTCTTAGTCTTGTCCGACTCAGGTGTATATTATGCCAAATTGCCAATACTATATTCACAGTACTACCGGTTGCAATTGCACCGGCTGGTGACATTGTGGCAGTATACACCCGTACTGCCAAAACCCACACCGATGTGATGGAGCACCAAATCAACAGTCCAACTATACAGAAGAACCTCCAGAATTTGGTGGAAAATGTACTACTAAAAGAGACGCCAGGTTTCACGTGCGCTTTTCCTTTCTGTCGATAACGCACAACGCGCGCAAAAACCGTACGTACCGCCACTGCAGGAGATCAAGGCTCGCGATCTCGTTCCCTCTGCGAACGCACAGTAATCAGTGGTGCATATGGAATAAAGCGAGGAGCTTCACATGGGATCAAGGACAATCAGGCTACCCCCTTCAAGATTCTTACAGGGGACAATGCACACATTTGTAGACTATGTAGCTCATGAGGGCCTAAAACTACTACTTAACTCGCTCCTTTTGATAATCTTGCTGGGGGCGGCTAACGCGCGAAGACGCTTAATCACCTCCTCTCTGACAGTTGACCAGTCAAAAAAATGAGGCAGCGGCGGTGAGAATCGACCTACGGCGTGTGAGAACAGTCGCTTGATCGTCCTCGATCTTTTGTTTCCCCTTTGCCCCCATTGGACCAAACAGTCTTCCTCATATCTATCTATGAACTGGAACCACGTCGCCGCGTGCATGCATGGCCGATGGCTGTAGGTTCCTTTCCTGCTTTCCTATACTTTGTCCCCCTCTCACTAGTAGAAAAGGGGCCTTTAGTCCCGGTTCATAAGGGGCCTTTAGTCACGGTACTAAAGCCTCCTCCTTTAGTACCGTGATGAGGGGTGATGAGGGGTTCTAACTGGAACCGGGACTAAAGGCCCTCCACGTGGCCGCTGCCTGGAGGTCCACCTTTAGTCCCGGTTGGTAACACCAACCGGTACTAAAAAAAATTTATGATTTTTTTTGAAATATTTTTTTTGAATTTCAAATTTCTGAATTATTTTAATCCTCTAATCTCTAATCACCCCTCATCACTGCTCAATTTAATCTTTAATCTCTAATCACCCTTCATTGTTCTAAATCATCTAACTTTCCAAACGGTCACCCATCCTCTCACTACTCCAGCCTGAGCACGCTTAACTTTCGGGTTCTATTCTCTCTCGTTTCCAAGTCTGCACTTGTTGTTTTCCTGAAAATAGTAAGATGTCAATCCTATTAACCCTCAGGAATTTAGCTTGAGCATGAAGTCACACATTTCACTGTTTGAGTTTGAAACTATTGTTCTAAAAATCAATAATTATTTAGTAACACTAATATTTCTTGAATAAGTAGTTTGACCACAGTTTGACCATAGTTGACCAAAATACAAAAAAACTGAAATAATTATTTAGTAACACTAATATTCTTGAATAATTATTTAGTAACACTAATACTTCTTGAATAAGTAGTTTGACCATAGTTTGACCAGATTTAACAAAAATTCAAAAAAAACTGAAATTTGAGCATAACTTTTTTCTCTTTTAGAATTTGAGGATTCTAAAAATTTGCAAACAGGCCGTAGGCGGTCTCCATCGGATGCGGATTTTCGTTCCGAACATTTTGATATATTATACGTTTTTTTCCGACATCGTATGCAAAAGTTATAACCGTTTTACATTTTCCCTACATTTTTTGCAAAACATGTCCAAATTTAAGTTTTTAAATTTTCCTAACTAGTAGATGTAGTAATATAACTACCTCTCGAAGGATTTTATTTTTTGAAGTTTTTATCATTTTCTTTTAATTTTTTCAAAACAAAAAAGGC